TATATATATATATATATATATATATATATATATATATATATATATATCCAGATTTATTATATATTAAAATATTATACAGATATATATATGGAATCGATTGAAACTGTGACATACTGTCAAACTTAGTGCAATTCTACATGATTAGTACGTTAGCAAACGTTTTCCAAAGGGTTCACATCACTGGAATACCGTTGGCGTCGGATTCGCATAAACATGAATATCGAGCATTCCAGCGAATGGCATCGATTGAAACTGTGATATACTGTCAAACTTAGTGCAATTCTACAGGTTTAGACTTCTTTACGAATGCGATACAAAACGTACGATATTTTATAAAAATAATCTTAATGTATAAAAAGGTAGTCTAATGCATGAAACATATGTATGTAATTCATATGTACAAGAAATATATACTAAAGTTTGAAAATGGTCATCTGACCAGTCGTGGTAGATTCAGTGTTAATAGAATGGTACCTCCACGTATAAGGCAGGGTCTGCTAGATAAACTTTGTCAATGAGCTCTTTTGGTACCAAAACTATTTAGTATTACAAAATGATAATCAGATTAGGAGAGTATACAAATTTTATAAGAGTCTCTTTTACATATGTAAATGTGAGATCTCTGTGAGCATGAGACTCTAGGTAAATGGCTTAGCTAGCCCACCCTGTGTGTAATAGGTCTGCCTCCATATCGTACAAACGTGATACGTTAGTGCCTATAACGATAAAATGCGGTTTTCTTGAATCTATTACTTCATGATCGACCAGGACCACACATTTCGATTGGATTAGTATCAGAGGACTGAGATTCCCAATAGCGATGACAGTTTTCGTTTCTTTTTATTCATTACAGAGATTACTTCTGTATTTATGGCATTATTTTCCCGAAGCATACACGTGTCCCTGGATTGGTCGAATCAATGTTTGATTGACGTTAAGAATCCACTTTGATACTACTTTATCAGTTTTTCCTTAAAGTACAGAAATCAGACATGTTAAAGCAGGATTTAACATACATGGCGCTTCATTGGGTACGCGATAGTTCAGTATTAATTACTACGACAATGCCAGTCTTACTGGTGAATTTGATTCAACAACGCATTAACTGGTTAAAAGTTCTCAAGCAATATGAGCACGCACTAACGAAATTCAATAGAATTGCGTAGGCCACGCTTCGAAGAATTCCTGAAGGGCTCTTTGGGACGAATGCAAGATTCGTCGTCGGTCGTTTCGCGAGCAAAAAAACAAAAAAAAAAAAAAATGTTTTCGACCACACGCAATATTGTATCCTTGTTTACTCGGGAAACAGGCGTGACACGGTGGTCGCGATACGAGTCGGGCGTACTGCGTATCGTAATTACAATTTTTGTTTTAATTAAAGACGTTTTAGACCCGTCCCATATATACAGTCAGTCTCACAAATATTCGTACTCTATGTGTCTATCGAAGTAATTTGTCTGAATTAACCGTTAGGTTTTGTTATAAATACGTATACATATTTATAAACGTGGGTGTACATGAATAAACCTTACATACGCATAAATTTATAATAAAAATTTATTCGGAAATATCAAACCTCGTTTAATTTAATTTAATTTGTCATTTAATTAAGACAAAATTTTTTCAGTAAACATAGAGGGTACGAGTATTTATGAGATCCACTGTATAAGCAGACAAACATTATAAAATTACACATTCGTACATACCATAGTTCTAACTAGACCTTATGCAAATATAAATATTCTTCTCTAGATTTATGGATATAGAATTTCTACGATTATATTGACCATCGTAGTTTTTACTTTTTTATTAGTACCTCTTAAGAGCAATTCGTACCACTGCTCTCTGAATTCACCCGAGGGCAGATATACAAGACTCTCGAGGATATTCAGTACTCTTCATGGAGCCATCGGCAAATACGACGATGTTTTCTAGATATTGTGATGCAATTACTGTTGTAAACTCTACGTTGGAGGCATCTGACTCCTGAAGTGTGTGTCCTGCAATCGCAATTCATTTGTCGTTCGAGGACCAGCCTCTCGCGTTGTCCCAACGAATCTTTTTCCAAGGAGCTAACAATAGTGT